TACCAATATTTCTAGTTCTTGTTATTGATCGTTGACTTTTTCTTGATGATGATTGAAATTTTTTGATATTTAATTTAAGATAACCAATTATTAAAATTTTACTATGATTTTGATTATAATGCTCAAATAATTGATCTGTTAAAATAAAAGACAAATTATAATTAATTGAAATAATTATTTGAAAGAAAACTTACCAATTACATTTATCATTAGAAAATGTGCTATATTCATAGGATAACATATTGACTGAATAGGACATGAGAGGTTCCTGAAAATAATTTATTATTAATATTAGGAAAAAAAAAAGAAAAATTCATTCTCACTCAACTTCATACCTTAACTATAACGATTGCTAGTGAATCAGCTATGACTAATTTATTTCATTTCTCATTGATATTTAATGATAAATAAAATTTTATTATTCTTACTGCAAATGAAGAACAGTTTCTCAATCGGTATTTCATCGAATAGTATGAGACTACCTATTCTACAATCATTTTCTATGTTTCTATTCAATCGCATAACTTTTTTCTGATTACTTCTTTAGAAGAGGTTTCTTGGATGACAAGAATTTTCTTTTTTACTTACTTTGATTTTTTCATCATTAATTGATCAACCAAGAATATAAAAAATAAGTCCATCATATTCTGATAAAATGGTTGAATATTTTTGCGAATGTGTTACATTTGCTGATTCGTCAAATCGCCATAGAACATCTAATTGAAATTGAAATAAAACAAACCTATGAATGCTTTTTATTCAACATTAGGATTATCTTTTATAATTCGATGTGATTCAACTTGAATTCTTCTTAAATTTGCTTCTTTTAAATCCTATTTTATAATTCATACAAAATTATTAAAAAAAAATAATTTCTTTTATAATACTTTTACAATAGTCGTAACTGATTTAAAATTATTTCCACCTTTATCTCTAGATCAAGAAAAAAAACGTTCAACAAAAGACAACAACAAAATGAAAACACAAAAAAAGACTTAAATTATTTACTTGGTTATTAATGTTTCTCATGTTGTTGTTGAAAATAATTTTAAAACTTTAAGTGATTTACTTAGTTTATCCATTTTGTTTAATTTATATTGAATTCATTTATTTTAAAGCTAAATAAATAAATAAATAAGTTTAAACATAGTCGACGGAAAAAGTCTAACGTCGATTGAATATTCACTCTCATTAATCGATGAACGAGAAACTACTCTACAAATCTTTATATTAGATCCATAATTTTTATTGTAAATTATTATTTAAAAAAAATCAACTACTGCACTTGATCTATTTGAACTTCTGTTTTATTATATTATATTCAATCAATATGATCGTAAAATAATATTTTTGTAAAACCTGATGTAATAAGTAACAAAAATCATTAAATTTATAAAAATTTCTTTTTCCACTTTCTTCGTTCAATTATCTCTTATATATGTATATGTTACAAATCAAAGAGAATAGTCGATAATTTTTTTTTGTGTTCTTCTTTCGTTCAGTCATCACTCTTATAGCATAATATTCAGTGCACGACATCTCATTTGTTCTTACACATTCAAGATGAAAAGCAAAATAAATTGAACATAGCATATGTAAAGACGACATAGATATCGTGCACTCAATATCGCAACATGTGTCAAAACAACCGGTTGTCATTATACGCTGCGTATTAAAATTCCGTCAACGTTGTCTGTCTATGTTTCTTCTCGTTCTTCGTAACAGAAGAAAAAAAAAATTTAAAACAAATGGAGCTTTCGAGGGTGGCTCTAAAACAAAATGAACCTTCCCAGGGATATCCGACGTTCTGTTGGTAACCTGTACAGGCGTGTAGATGGTAGGCCTTTACAACACACATCTATGTATGTATGACTAGAAGCATCCAACTCGTCATCGTTTTTCCAAAGATGATGATCATGGATGTACTAGTCATACATACATAAATATATGTTTGCCTTATCATTGCCGGCTTTGTCCACTGTACAACCCAACAGAATACGGAGGGTATCCCTAGTCGGGCGTGCGTGAAATTATTTCAGCTGATGTGCTTCGGCGAGCCAAATATGTTCAAGAAGGGCAATTTATTTTCTCGTTTAAAAAAAACAACTACATTTTCTCTTTCACAATGTCAATGTTTTTTTTCACAAGTGCAATATGTGGATGATTTGAAGGTAGTGATTTTTTCCATATGTCTTCCGCCTTTTCGTAATATGAAAGTGCTTTCGAGTACTCGCCCATGTCTCTATACATGCAACCAATGTTGTTGCAGGAAGTAGCCAACTCGGGATGATTGGGAGGGAGAACTATTTTTTGGATTTCAAGTGATCGTTCATACGATGAAAGTGCTTTCAGGTACTCGCCCATATTATTGTACACTGAAGCGATGTTGTTGTAGGAAGTAGCCAAGGAGGGATGATTCGGAGGGAGAGCTATTTTTTTGATTTCAAGTGATCGTTCGTACGATGAAAGTGCTTTCGAGTACTCCCCAATGTTATAATACACATTACCGATGTTGTTGTAGGATTGAGCGATGTCGGGATGATTGGGAGGGAGAGCTATTTTTCGGATTTCAAGTGATTGTTTGTACGATGAAAGTGCTTTCGAGTACTCGCCCATGTCATCATATGCCCAACCAAGTTTATGATTGTAATCTGATCTCTCTTTATCAGAAGATGCCTTTTGGAGAAGTATTTTTGTTATAGTGGATGTCGCTGGATTACAGCTCCTCCACTGATATGACCTTACACCTGTTATATTTATATATATTTCTTTCTCATCGGTATCTAGTCTCTCTCTCTCTCATCTTTTTCTTTTCTTTTTTTCTATATTCGATATATATATATATGTTTCAGTTCATTATATAACAGATAAGAATAAAAAAGGAATAAACCTAGAGAATATATATCTATAGCTAGTGTTCGTCACAGGACGAACGCTAACAATTTTGTAGAGTTTTTTTGCCTTTGCAGGCTCACCCACTTTAATGAGTATAAAAGCTAGTTGAGACCATCCTCGTATTGGTTCTTTCAAGTTGATCTCTTCGCGTACGTGTGCTGTAAGTGTATTTAGCTCGTGGTTGTCATTACCCACAAGAGTAAGATGAACTTCCCATAGACGATCAGTATGATCGTCATGAATTCGTTGAATTTTATCGATTCGAAATATTGTATGTGTTGTAAAAAGAATTTCGGCTTCTTGGTCTTCGAAAAAGCTAACTTGACTAACATCAGCAAATGGAATTTTTGATTTTGTACATACATCGGGATCAATAGTCATTATGAAGAGTATGCCAACTTTATTGGGATCATTAAATGCTGCTGGTCGTGCAAACTTTTTAAAGGAAATATTTTGATTGAGACTTGTTGATAGAAAATTATTGAAAGACATTAATTGATTTATGCTTTTTTTCGTTTTTTCAAAATCTTCTAATGCTAAACCTTGACCACGATAAACTTTG